CCATGCTGCCATCCGTCCCTAACAGGGCTTAATTGGATGTATTAGCTTTGAGAGCTTGCAGGAGTTCTGTGTGTTCCCAGTTAATCATGAGCAGACTCTCAAACGGCTAACACAGCGGGAAGAAAAAAAGGCTCCAGGGACCGACTCTCACCCCTGCAGAGAGGGCTGGGAGAATGGTGTTCTCTTGAGAATGCCAGCAGGAGTTTTTAGGTTTCTTTTTTTTAAGACAGAGCTCTTACAGAGATAGAGCAGCAGGCATATGCTTTAACAGAGGCAAAACACCCAGACAGCTGCACATAATCCAAGCTTGTCAGTCCTACAGCTATCACTCAAAAACTCATATTCTATTATTAATCAACTCTGGGGATCTGATTTGCAATTATCCTTTGACATCCTGCCATTAAAGTAAAGTGACATTGTGTTTTATGTCCGGCTGTTAAAGGTCCTCTAATAAAAGCAGACACTCATTTTTACAGCATTCACAAACTATGAAAAAGCTAATTAGACATATAGAGAGAATACAACAGATTTATCCTCTGATGTCCAACATCAGACACATTGTTAAAGGGCTGGTGAGTTTTGCAGCTCACTTTACACGGCCACATAGATGAGCTCATCTGTTTGGATGTAGTGGGCCATCGTGCGTGTTTGCCGCTAAAATAAACAGAAGGCTGTCGTCTGACTTGTCAGATCGAATCTCAGATGAGAATGGATCTGTAGTTCAAACATATTCACACATTTACATACTTTTGCTTATATGATTTACCTTCTTTGGTGAGTGGAGAATGAAGTTCTGAATCCAGACGGCATCACTTCACAGTTCCTATATGAGAGCTTTACTATGCTTACTGTAAGGAAAAATAATCTCCTTCTGATGGACTCTTCACACCTCTACCATACTGTTTTTGGCTAGCAGGAAGCGCTGACTTAAAAGGTCAGAGTAAATTGAACTGTCAGGCTGAAGGGGAACCAAAAGTTATTTTTAAAACAAATATAAAACAACCTCCAGTTTTACTTTATAATTAACTGCTTTTTATGACGAGTTTTAGGGCCAAAGAAGAGAAAAAATTAATTGGGGTGAGGATTTTTTTCCCCTCCTCCTCGCAAAGTCATTAAAGTTGAAATGTTGAGAATAATGTCCAAGTATAGTCTTAATAATAAAGCTACGCTTTATTCAAATATGGCCAAACAGGAGTCTCTCGTTAATCACGTCTTGTGACTTTATTATTGACTTTATTCTTTAAACCCTTTTCAACTTTTTTATTGATCATTCTACTTTATTCTCGTCATCTTCCTTCAATTTCATTTTTTCATTTCTGTGGCCCTAATACTCCTTCATAAGCTTTGAGCTGTTTTAAGAAGATTGCATAAAAAATGTATTAAAAAAGAACAAGAAAAGGGTCATGTTTAATTTTAAAGACGGTGTACTTTATCTATGTTGATCTTTTGATTTAGACGTCCTCCCCTTCTGTTTCCTCTGGCTTCCATTTTACAATTAGAGATTTTTTCCTTCAAGTTAGCAAAAAAAAAGATTCTGCAGGCAACTTCTGGACATCAGTTTGAATCAATTTCTACAATCCTTTTACCAGTGTTCAGATCAAACTGTTTGATGTGGCTCTGCTTACATTTTTATGCCACTTTTTCCTGAAATTTGAAATAAATGCTTCCCTCCCTGAGGTCAGAAGACCTCCAGTCTGCCTCTAAGCCCTCCAATTGTTAATAAAGCTTCATACTCCAACAGCTCCTTCCTTTATTAATTATCCCATCCTTGAATTGTGCACCTAATAATTTTTCCGCTCAGCCTAACCCTTTAACAGTGCGTGTTGTAGTGAAGTGTGTTGGTAATCAGAAAGTAGAATGAGAAATCTTTAGCTCTGATGACAAAGCAGAACCACGTACCAAAGTCAATGCAGACGCAATATGGCCGACCTTGAGCCAAAATGGCAACAAGCTCCCGACGTCGTATGGAAATAGCTATTATGTTCACTGAACTGTGAATGTATGGCATACCTCATTATGATTATTGCTCCATTTATTGCAGAGATGGCATCAGGCATTGATATAATAGAGTCACTTCATAAAAAAGAAACAAGGTGACAGATAATCTGTCAAGATGGAAGCAATCCTTATTCTGGCATTAGCTGTGCAACGCCAGCAGCGCAGCTCCCCGCACATGTGCGCTCTCTTGTTTCTTTGCCTGGCAGGTCACCTCAGATGTGCTGAGTAGACTGTTATGTCTTTATTAGATGTAAACTGACCTCAGGTTAACCAGAATGCTCCGGCCCTGGCACAAAGAGCTCTAACAACATATGGAGATTCCTCCGCCTCCAGGCTAAACATTACGGGCCTCTCCAAATAAACTGCAAAAACCTGTGCCAGGACAGAAGAAAAGGGACTTTTTCACTGGAAGAGAAGCTTCAGTTTTGTAATTAGGGAGTTTAGAGAGGAAAAGAGGGCAAATAAAGAGAGGGATACAGAAAGAAGAGGAGTTGCTCAGCTGATTCCTTTTATTCAATGTTCCTCAGGCATCCTGATCTGCTCTGGCGGCTTAGCCTCGTCATTAACAGCTTTAGATTTAATTAGCAGCCATTAAGCCTCTGTTTTACTGGAGGAGCTTACAAATACTTAATCACTGTTTGGGTAATGTACCATGTGTAGCGCTGTTGATATGGACGCAAAGGGAAGAATTATGTAGCATACAGTAGGTGTTATTCTTGTTCAGACCCCTTTTTTGGTACAACGTATTTGTTTGAAACGTATTTGTAATCAATCTGCTGTAAACATCTTAATTCCCCAGGCCTTTTTGGTTCAGGCAGATGCTTCTTGCTTATTGAGGCATATAACATTTGTAAAAACAAAAAAACAACAATAGAGCTGACCGAAGAAACAAGCAGACCACTACTAAATCTACTCCAGGCCACTAGGGATGATAATATGGGGGAGGTGATGTCCTAGTGGATAGAGCAGTGCGCTTTTGCTCTAAGAAAGCACACAGTTCGATCCCCACAGCCTGCACGCTGGGTCCCTGAGCAAGACCCTTAACCCCACACTGCTCCACGGGCGCCACACAATGGCAGCCCACTGCTCCCTAAAGGGCATGGGTTAAATGCAGAGGTGAATTTCTTCAGTGTGAGATCAATAAAGTTAAATTATAAAAACTATTCATTTTCATAAGATACAACTCATAAATATCAAGGAACTGCCTCTCTCCAAATGTTTGCTCCAGTTAACGGTTTGAGAAACAGTGAGGTTTGCACTGGAAAAACTGAAATTAAATAAATGGATTCTCTTGAAATAAGGGGAGTCAGGCTGGGCGGTCGGGTATATCTGCGTTAACTGCGACACACACGCAAAACACCTGGTTTCTGAGCATAAACCAGCCTTAAGACAATTTACATTTAAAATAAGAAAACATTTTAAATAATATAATTCAGCACTGTCTTATTTCGAGTGCAGAATATCTAATTATCTTACAGTGTTTTAAGTGTATAATACAAATTTTATCGAAAGGTCATCTTATTTGACTACTCAAATTAAGGATAAATAAACTTATTTTACCTTTTTTATTTTTTTTCGCAGTGTGCAGCTGTTATGAGCAGATACCAGGATGACTACTATTTGCCCAATCAGTCAAAAAAAAATAATACGGGTTTATTCTGAATGCTTTGCACCAACTCTAACATAACATGTCATACACTGGAAAAACGATCTAGAAACAAGTTAAAATTTCCTAAATTAAGTGTATTTACCCTTAATTTGAGTTGGTAAATTAGATAGTTTGCGAATGGAATGAGTATTTTTACTCTGAAAATAAGATAATTAGATAATATGCACTTGAAATAAGACAATGCAATTGTGTTTTCTTATTTTGAGTGGAAGTTTTCTTGTTTCATTGGCAAAATGTCTCTTTAACCTCCTCAATACAAGAACAAATGTACTTATTTTAAGAAAAAAGGACTTATCTAGATTTCAATTTTTTCCAGCATAAACAGAGGTGTCGGTCTCCACTCATTTATTGGCATGCAGACAGAAGAGCACAGAAAGTCCCTATTACTGCATCTCTTACTACCTTTATCCTACTCCTATATTGGATCTTAGGGTTAGAAATTTTCAAACTTTTCTTGCTTGATTTTTTTTTATGTTGAAAGTAAAAACGTACACTTTTGACTTTATTTTCTGCATTCCATTCCATTCTCAGTCGATTATATATTTTTTTCATGCTGAGTCTTTAAAGCACTGAGTTTAACCTGTGTATTTTTATTATCTATGGTGCTTGTGACTTCTTCTATCAATTCAATGACGGCCATTGCTGTAGATCTTTGTGATCTAAATCCATACTGACTTTTTGAATACAGAGTTATGGAATGCAATTAATAAATAACTGCAAACTGCTTAAACCAGAATATCTAGATTTAATCTTCTCTTACATCTAATACCCAAAGAAGACTTACTAACAATAAAGTCAGGACAAAGAAACGCTGTCATCACTTTGAAAAATCAGGCATTGGCTCAGTACTTTGCTATAAAACACACCTTTTGTTAACTGGCTTTGGTGATTCGTTGGTTCCAGATCATATTCAGCCCGATAAAGCTGTGGTTCAGCTTTAATCAGGAGGACACTGAGCAGCTCTGTTAAAATGTTCCTGCTGGTTGTAATTAAAAATTTAAACTAAAAACATTATTCCATGAAGTGTGACTTGTGGTAAGCATATCTAAAATATATGATTCTTTATTTTTACTGGTGTTTTAACGAGGTTTGTTTCATAAATGAACCTTTTAAAAACATCAGCCAGGTATAGACCATACTTTATACTAAGCCCAAAATAAGCCTCGATCATTTGTCAATAACTGATCTGATATATTATTCATTTTTTGGTTTTCATTTGCTGTAATGAAAATACATATATTTCAATTTTCACCGAACAACATATACAGACAAGTTCATCATCCCCTTTTCTTATTCTTCATTTTATGCTCACTCTTTTTCTTCTTGTTCTTAGACTTTGCTTGGAGGCCAGGGACCCTTACTGCGGCTGGGACTTCAGGCAACGCAAATGCACCACGCTGGAGGAAAGCTCCAACATGAGCCAGTGGAAACAAAACATCACTGTCTGTCCGGTAAGACTGACCTCACTGCAGCATTTACTGTACGCATTCAATTGGCCTTCTTTCCTTTGGCCTAAACTCAGCAGATTGTTTATCTCTGCACACGTCAGCCTTTACATGACAGCTTCTGTCAGATTATCAATAAACAGTGGTGACCCTCAGCCTCTAGAGGTCAAGGACTCCCATACTAACACAAGCCTCATGTGTTCAACAGATGGAGTTTTTGTTCCCCAAAGCTTCATGGAAGTTTCTCCTCATGTCACTTTTCTATGACGGGAATCAAATTGAACCCAAATAAAATTAACCTCTGAAATGTAAAAAAAAATGTCTTTCAGCTGCGTAACCAGACCACTGATGGTGGCTTTGGACCCTGGACTTCATGGCACCCCTGTAACAATGATGATCCACTGGATGGTGTGAGCTCCTGTTTGTGTCGCTCCAGATCTTGTGACAGTCCCGCTCCTCGGTGTGGAGGCAAAAACTGTGACGGCCCAACTATTGAAGTCTCAAATTGCTCAAGGTCAGAAAATAAAAGTCTAAAATGTGGACATTTTGTAACCTGTATGCTAGAAGGAATTGTTTTTGATTCAATTCAATTCAGTTTAGTATATTGATATAGGCCAATTCACATTGCGCATGTCATCCCAAGGCATTTTAAAGAGACTATTTAACCAGATCATCCAGTCACATTGATTCAAAGTTTTCTGTCTAAGGAAAACCAGTTGATTGCATTGACTCATTGACCCAAATGCAATGCACACTAAGCATACTTGTAGCAACAGTGGAGAGGAAAAACTCCCTTTTAACAGGAAGAAACCTCCAGCAGAACCAGGCTCAGTGTGAGTGGTCATCTGCTGAGGCTGACTGGGGTTCGAGGAGACAGAAGCTGACATAGAAAAAGAAGCAGAGATACAAAAGGCAACTGTCAAACAGCTCCATAGGCGGCCCCATCCAGGAAACACACAGCATTGCAGACGAGCTCCGAGCCAGTTCAAACGTTGAAGGATGATAGAGAGCAAATCCAGTTACCCACAGTCAGAGAAACAGGACTATGTACACTGAAAACCAGGCCAAGCTCCAACTTCTATAAACAAAGGTGTTGATGGCAGCAGCACAGCTGATATTTCTCTACGGGATGGTGTCACAGTGAAACAGGAACCAGATGAAACTACTACTGTATGATGAGAAAAAGCTAACAAATATCACAGAATGCTATTATAGAGATACACTGAAGCAGAATGATCAACAGGGCTCCCTATGTTCTCCAGCATTCTAAACCTATAGCAGCATAACTATAGAGATAGCTCAGGATAACCTGAGCCACTGTAACTATAAGCTTTATCAAAAAGGAAAGTTTTAAGCCTAGTCTCAAAAGTAGACAGAATGTCTGACTAAAACTGGTAGTTGGTTCCACAGGAGAGGAGCCTGATGACTAAAAGATCTGCCTCCCATTCTACTTTTAGTAATTCTAGGAACCACTAGTAAATCTGAAGATTTCATTACTAAATACTTAAAGCATCATATTTCTACAGCAAATGCCTGTAACATATTAGAGGGTGTTACATGTATAAAGTCTTCTGTTATATAGCTTTTTTTCACTGCATTTTCTAATGGAGACTTGGAAACTATGAATGTTAAGCCTAAATAGCTTTAGATACTTTGTTTTAACAAAGTGTGATTGTTGACTATTGCTTTAGTTTATGCAAAATCTTATTTTGTTTTTATCTTTATTTGCTTTTATTCTGCTTTTTTTCCTTTCCTTTCCTATTTTACTGTGAATTCATGTAAAGCAATATAAATAGTCTTTGCACTGAATTGGGCTATAGCAATAAACTTAAAGGCTACGTAGTTTGAAAGATTTGAGTTAAATAAACCTACAAACAATACACTTTTGTGATGATTGTAAAGATCGATCAAAACAGATTTAGATTATAATTGTAAAAACTACTAATTGCAAGAAATTATGCTAATAATAATGGAAGATGTGCTGTTTTTTTTTTTTTAGGGTTTTCTGTTCAGAGCCTTTCTCCTGGTCAATTAGACCAGCCTCCTACTGGGATTAGAGATCACAATAATTTTTGCTTTTTGTTGAAGGACTGAAAAAGTTTCTCTTCTAATAAATGCATGTATTTAAAATTTATTTATCTAAAATGAAACTACTTTCAAGCCAACATACAATATATTTCTGTTTTTTTTTTTTTTTGTGCATCTATAACCTTGACTTTTGTTAAGGCACATAATGCAGTAGTAGCCATGGCAAGATGAAAAAGACTTACAGGAAAGAACTGAGTCTTTTTTTATTATCCTACCATTTCTTATTCCATCCTCTAAAAAATGATTCAGTGAAGTCTGTATAGTTTAAAAAGGCTGCCGGTGAAAAATGATGAGGCTCCTTCTAGTCTCGTCTGAAATAAAAAAAAAAAAACTGGACACAATGCTTGATTTAAAATACTCAATTTATTGCAGATTCCATTCATAGTCATTGAAGCATCAGTTATTGCATTGATTGTGGTGACTAAAAGTTTCAGTGTGGTATTTTGAAAACCACAAAATATATCAAAATATACATTTCCCCTCCTTTGTGTTCAGTAAAATGCTTCAATCCCAGTAAAAAGAACTTAAACCCCCCCATCCTGCTGGATAGCTATGGCAGATTTAATTCTTGGTGTTAAAATTGAATTGTGCTTTTGTAGAGAGCGGCAATTAAATCATGAGGAGAGCTTCCCAGGAACAAAGCACTTAAGCAAATGGAGTGAATGTTACCCAGTCAGAACAAGCTCTTTTTGTCTGTGTGCATTTTTGCATACAGAAGTTAAAAATTAGAGGATTTCTTTGAAAGGTGGAGCTGAGAAATGATTCTTGTATTCTCTAATTTAATAATGCATTAACACCTTTGGAGAAAACTGTGTTGAATTGTTAATAAAATATGATGTTTCTGAATAATGGGGGCTCTTAGGCCACTAATGTCTTTTCGTTCATCTGTTGTTTAAAGGAATGGAGGCTGGACACCCTGGTCGTCGTGGGGACAGTGCAGCACAACCTGTGGTACAGGCTTTGAGATGCGCCAGCGTACCTGTAACAACCCCTCACCCCGACATGGCGGGAGAGTGTGCGTGGGGCCCAGCAGGGATGAACGGTAAAAATAATTACATTTAAATAAAGCCTTGCACTAATCCCCTTAAAAAATTAAAGTTCATTATTTAAGCGTAAAAGAAAAATAATTACGAGATTGTTAGACAATGCTTAATCGCTGGAAGGTGCTTTAACCCTACTGAAAAATATTACAACCTTCTGTGTACTTTGCTCTTAATAGAAACTTTAATGTGTGGACCTTACAAAGCTAAGCTCACATTTAGAACTGCGTTTTATTTCACTTGTGAGGCCAAAAGAAATTCCCAGTTAATGGGCCATTAAGATTAAATCGTACTAAACTAAATTATCTAAATTACCCGAGTTACCCAGTTATACATTTTGCAAATAAGCTTTAATTTCATTTACATTTTATGGATATTAGATTTGTACCAGTTAATCTGAATTATCTCAAAGAAATATTACTTTTGTTTTATCAAAATATGTGTTTTTCTGAATATTACCACACAGCAAATGGTGCTGTCATTCTAAAAAAAAAAAAAAGACAAAATGATGAGAAATATTATTCTTATTATTATGATTATTTGAGTTAGAGCTTCTTATTATCAGAGGTGGGTAGAATACCCCAAAAATTTTTACTATAATCGTATTTTGATTTAAGTAACAGCAAAAAACTATTTGGTAAAAAGGCTATTAAAATACCTAGCAACTCATCATAACATTTGATATATAAAAATATGTAAGAATGACAGACCAACATGTAAAGTGAATTTGAAATGATAATGATAGAATGATTAAAACAAACAAATAATGTAAGAATAAAAAAAAAATACAACTAGTCGAGGCAGAAGAAACACTTCTCCAAACTTATAAAAGCACTACCTCCAGTGAAGGGACGTAATCCTTGTTGGATATTGGCCTGATTAGAATACAATAAAAAGTATTTTATATTATAAGCGTTAACTGTCTTAGATCAGAGCATTGTTTTTAATAAAATTTATTTTAAATTTAATAAAATAATTTTTAAAAATTCCTATCAGTCTACTGTCCATAAAAACGAGCCACTAGTGCCGTAAAAACGTAAAAAATAAAATAAAAAATAAAGATATATTATAATATACATTAGTATAAGTAAAAAGTATGGTACAGTAAAAATTACTTATGTAAATTTAAAGGAATAGTACACCCAAAACATGATTAGCCTTCATTTTCTACTCACCTCCATGCTGAACAACACTCTGGAGTACTTTTTTGATATCTCAAATGCATCTGGAGATCTGGGAGGCTTCTTGCTGTCTGCTGACATTCAAATAATGGAGGTCCATGGCGCCCGAGACAGAAAGGTCCATAAAAGTCCACAAAAACGTGTCAATATTCCTCCATACTGCTCGTCCAATGTAATCCAAGTGTCCTGAGTGGGTAGCATCCAGAATTTACTCGAAACGAAGTCATTTAGAATGTTTTTAGAGCATAAACAGTAGTGTATAGGATTTCCTAATAGCGCCCCCATGCGCGCTCACGATTCTACGGAAGCCGGCAGACCAAACCGGAAGGAAGTGCGCATTCAGCGTCTGGTCTGCCGATAATGCAAGCGTAGAAGAAGAAATGTGCTGTTTACCTGTGCAAAGAAAGAAACAACGAAAGAAAAATGTCTGAGGACTTCAGTGTTGAGGAAGAGCATGAGTTCTTTGCCGAGCTGAATGCGCTGGTTTGGTCTGCCGGCTTCCGTAGAATCGTGAGCGCGCATGGGGGCGCTATTAGGAAATCCTATACACTACTGTTTAGGCTCTAAAACGTTCTAAATGACTTCGTTTCGAGTAAATTCTGGATGCTACCCACTCAGGACACTTGGATTACATTGGACGAGCAGTATGGAGGAATATTGACAAGTTTTTGTGGACTTTTGTGGACCTTTCTGTCTCGGGCGCCATAGACCTCCATTATTTGAATGTCAGCAGACAGCAAGAAGCCTCCCAGATCTCCAGATGCATTTGAGATATCAAAAAAGTACTCCAGAGTGTTGTTCAGCATGGAGGTGAGTAGAAAATGAAGGCTAATCATGTTTTGGGTGTACTATTCCTTTAACTCCTTCTGTTGGCTCCATTCTTAAATACTTTCTCGTTTTTACTCAATGAAGTCTATAAAGAAATCACAAAAATACAATGAAATGTAAGAATATATAAAATAAAAGTAATTTAAGAGAATAAACAACAGAAAAAAAAGGAGAAAGGAGACACAAAGGGAAACAGCCGTCATCAAACTGAATATATTTGCTTCACCCATAAACATTTTGCTAAGACTAACAGATGGCTCTACAGTATATACTGTTTACATGGATACATTATAGTATTACCCATAATCCTCCTCCCTCCTACTTCAAATCCATTAGATTTGTGCACTTTACAGCTAGTACAGCTTTTAAAACAAGTTAAGTGTTTGTCCCTATTTCATCCAAAAAGGGTTTTAGGGTTTTGTTTATCCCAAAAATGTTAGCAGGAGTTTATATTTCATAGAAACAAACTGTTGAGCTTTTATTTTGACTGTTAAAGAATAATGAGGGCTGAAAGTTATTTATATTAATCTTTGAGGTAGGTTACCGGGTAGTTAAACATCTAACCATCAGTTGGTCTCACATTACCAGCAGATTATTCTAGCAGTCAGGTTTGAAACCGAATCTAATTTTCTGTGACATCTTCTTACAGTGCATTGTGTATTTTAGCTCCACCACTGTTTCTTCAATAGGTTCTGCAATGAGGGCGTATCGTGTCCTCAGCCTATTTTTTGGACTCCATGGGGCTCTTGGACTAAGTGCAGTACAGAGTGCGGTGGAGGTGTCCATTCCAGGGTCAGGTCCTGTGAGAACGGCAACACCTGTCCCGGATGTGCACTGGTAGAGTAAACATTAACACACAAAAACACACTCTGACCAATAAAATCAGCTGGTGGATATAAGAAAATACCATCTTCTGTGAAACATGATTTTTTTTTTCTATGTTAAACATCAGTTCAGTTGTCTTTAACAGAGCAGATTATATGAAATCATCCGAGATCAAATGAATTAGAAGTGACCACAGTAGATTTTTAACCTAAAAACATTGGACACCAGCATTTAGAGAATGTGGTAACAGTAATGTCAGTCACAACAACACATGATGGACAAGATCAATGCAGCACACAGTGTGCTTCCTATACACACTGGTTCCAAAGAGTCTTCTAGATAACAAATCCTGATGTTTTGGCCCTAGAGAGAGGTATTTGGTCTCTTGACAGCTAACAAGTCGCTAATGAATTTTAGCTCATCTCCATTTCTTATAAAACTATGGTTTTCCATTCATAATCCATTGTTGCATAATAACTATTAAACAATCTTTTCAATCTTATCTCTTGATCAATTATTTTAACCACTGCTACTCGTGTTATTTTGCTGCTACTAATGCTTTTTTTATGATTATGATTGGCCAATCACAATTAATGTAACCGCCTTATCACATATCATATTCACTCCTGATCAAAATCTTAAGACCAGTCAAAAAATTGCAAGAATTTGCATTTTGCACTATTGGATCTAATGAAGGTTCTAATTAGAGCTTCACAATTTTAAAAGAAGAAATCAGCATAAATCAGCATTTTCAGCTGATCAAAAGTTTAAGACCATAGCTCAAAAAAACCTGAAAACCCCCCAAAACAGAAATCAAAGTGTCAAAAAAAGGACTCAGTAATGAGTGGCTCCACCATTCTTGTTGATGACTTCAAACAATCGTTTAGGCATGCTTGATGCCAGTGTTTCCAGGAGGCTAGTGGGAACGTTGCTCCAAGTGTTCAAGATGGCTTCACGAAGGGCATCCACTGTCTGGAACTGATGTCCATTTTTGTAAACTTCCCTTGCCATAAATCCCCAAATGTTCTCAATTGGGTTTAGATTCAGGGAACATGCAGGATGGTCCAAAAGAGTGATGCTATTCTCTTGGAAGAACTCCTTTGTCAGGCGGGCATTGTGAACTGCAGCATTGTCCTGTTGAAAAACCCAATCATTACCACACAGATGAGGGCCCTCAGTCATGAGGGATTCCTGCTGCAACATCTCCACATAGCCAGCTGCTGTTTGATGCCCCTGCACAACCTGAATCTCCATTGTTCCATTGAAGGAAAACGCACCCCAAATCATGATGGCGCTCCCACCACTGTGCCGTGTAGAAAACATCTCAGGTGGGATCTCCTTATCATGCCAGTAATGTTTGAAGCCATCAGGACCATCAAGGTTAAAATTTTTCTCATCAGAGAAGACAACTTTCTTCCACCTTTCAATGTCCCATGTTTGGTGCACCCTTGCAAAGTCCAAATGGGCAATTTTGTGGCGTTGAAGAAGACGTGGCCTTTGAAGACATTTTTTGTTTCTCAAGCCCTTCTCTCTCAGATGCCGTCCGATGGTTATTGGGCTGCAGTCAGCACCAGTAATGGCCTTAATTTGGGTAGAGGATCGTCCTGTGTCTTGACCGACAGCCAATCGGATCCTGTGGCTCAGAGCTGGTGAAATTTTTTTGGGTCTACTACTTGACTTTTTTGTTCCATAACCCTCAGGATCATTTAAGAAAATGCAAAATGACTGTCTTACTGCGTCCAACCTCAGCAGCGATCGCACGTTATGAGAGGCCTTGCTTATGCAGCTCAACAATCCTACCATGTTCAAAGTCAGTGAGCTTTTTTGCTTTTGACAATCAGGAGGTCTTGACAGTGGAAAGACTTGACAGAAAATAACATGGAATTGAGATTTTTGCACAGCTTTTGGCTTTTAACCCCTAGAACCCTACGGACCCACCGGTGGGTCTAGCTGCTACGTGACCTCGTAATTTTACCAAACCCCCAGTATTGATGTAAAAAACATATTTGGCACAGTTTGGTGACATTTTTGGATAAATGTGCCAAAATGGCCCCTCCGCCTAAGAAATTTCTCACTAATATCATTCTAAAATAAATATGATTCATCTGATTGAGTCCAAATTTGGTATATTTTTAAACATTTACTGTAGATTTGAAAGTCTGTACTACTTTTTTGTGCTATAAAAAATATTTTGGTAGTGTTTTACAATGTTTATTTCAAAGAAAATTTTGGCGAGGTTCAAAAAATGCAAAATATTTTGTATTTTGTCCCTAATATTTCAGGCAGGGTCAAAGCTACAATGGTGCTGACACCAGAAAACCATTCTATGACATCTTACCTTTACAGAGGTACCAAAAGTTTCTTCTTAAATCTAATAGCTGGGAGGCTATAAGTGATTTACTTTTGTGTGTTTTTGTCAGGCAGAAATTTATTTATACCCCCTGAGGGTGTAAGAGGTTAAAGACTATGGTCTTAAAAATAATGTTTGGGTGTAAATGCTGTTTTCAGAAAATTCCCTGCTCAAAAGTTCTTGTCTCTTGCACTGATTTTTTCCTTTAACATTGTGAAGCTCTACTTTGAACCTTCTTAAGATCCAATAGTGCAAAATGCAAATTCTTGCAATTTTTTGACTGGTCTTAGGATTTTGATCAGGAGTGTATCTTTTTTATATAGTAGAATATTTAATTGAGAAATGAAAATAAATTGCAATGGTTAGCTTGATAAAAAAAAAAAGCATGTCTAATACCTGCTTAAAGTTTGTTATTCTTACTGGAAACAAAGAGCTTCAGCTTCATCTGGATGAATAACAACACCTCTGGTGGGATGTCATCTACACAGCTGGTCTCAAATTAGAGGAAACTGACACTCTGTTTCGGTATAAATGCTTGAACCAGCTGTTCTATACGATGGTAGAAGATCGTTCAGGCTAAGGCTGGTGCAGCAAACATCAAAGCTTTCTAGCCACAATGTAAACGCAACAATGCAATTTGTTAAGAGCACATAAATAGGTATGTCGAGGTCTAGATTAACAGAAATTAATATAAAAATCAAACAAGAATATGTACATTTTAAATAGGAAAAAAAAGCATTTTCTTCCCTTTGGGGCTATGAAAATAAAGGTCTGTGTTGAAGGTCTTCAGTCCTGCTCCTACCTTAGAAAGACACATCTAATTCAATATGGTTGTAATACCTCCTGAGCAGCCTTTGAAGACCTCATTTATTTGGAGGCAGGGAGAAACCTGCAGAACAGTGGCTCCAGGATTTAATTTCTAATTTCACATCTATTTCCTTTAGGAGTACAAGGCTTGTAACCTGGAGGCCTGTCCAGAGGTAAAGAGGAACACTCCTTGGACCCCCTGGATGCCTGTCAATGTGACCCAAGGTGGAGCTCGTCAGGAGCAAAGGATGCGCTACATGTGCAGGGCCCACTTGGCCGATCCTCACGAGCTGCAAATCGGACGGAGGAAAGTAGAGACGCGCTACTGTCCGAATGATGGAACGGTGGTCTGTGAGACGGATAGTAAGTAAAGTAGGGAGAGATAAATGGGAGCTGAAAATAAGAACTCACAACACACAACATATACAGATACGATCGCTCAACTTTTATCATACGTTAACAGCAGCTCACTAATGGATCACAGTGATAGCAGTTTTTAAGTCATAAAAAATGTCACAAATTTTATATATTTGAATCTTTCTGTGTTTAACATTTGAAGCAGTTTTGAAGGAGCTTGCATGAATACATCTGTCCTCATATTGGATTTTATTTCAATGCAGCTGCAATCGATGATGCGTCTCCTGGCTTTCTCCAGCTCATTGACATTTCCATAACTCTTTTCCCCAAACTCTTGATAACATCAGTGTCATGAATTAATATCTTTTCCACTGAGGGAATTTTGATGCCTAAGTTTTGGGGTATTTTTTATATGCTTTTCTGAGTTTTGTTGCCAGTTTGTAATCTCCAGTTTTGAAACACCTCAAGCTGCCAAATTATAAAGTTTTCAACATTCACATGTTTTGTCAGTGTTATCGCTGAAATTAAAGATAACACATTTATAAAGTTTAGCTTTTGTACTGTTGTTAGCATTGCCCGCTAGTCGTTGGTTTGGCTAGCGGTGCTAAAACAGCAAATTTTTGGCTTTACCTTTGCAAATGATTTTAGTCATTTTTGGTTTCCTGTTTGCATTTCATTGTACTTGTACACTATGTCGGTTGTATCGGTGTTCGGCGGACAGGCAGGAGATTAGAACCCAGCAGAAGAATGTAGGCAGGATAATCCAGAGGGCGAAGCCAAATCCAATTTTGGTTACATGCTCAGTTGTCAGAGCCAGGTTGTCAGAGATCCAGTGACATACCGAAGGAGTCGGGTCACAGTTTTAGTTACGGTACACAAACAGGCAGAGATTGGGCAGGAGTCAGAAGACATGTCAGGTAAACAGATGGGAACGGAGGCTCAGAGGTTGAGAGGCAGAACAGGTCAGGATCAGGTTATCAGAATATAGGAATGCTAGAATAAGTCTGACCAATGGCTTGAAATAATCTGGGACTGATGACTGGTCTGAAGGCTGGTTATATATAGACTAATGCAGGTGGATCAGATAGGTCGCTTATGAGAAACGGGCGGAGATAAAGAGGTGTGTGAAATGAGTAATCAGACCAAACATCAGTGCCAAGATCATAACAAATTTAGTTTGCTTTAGAAATAAGTACATTTTGTAGCATAATTACATTATTTAATGAGGATCTTGCGACATTTCTGATTGTACATGTGCAAATGAGCTAATTATTCTACTGACAGAGGTAAGGTAATGTCATCTGAAACAACTTTGGTGCAGTGTGTATTCCATGTTTACTCACTGGTACCCAACCAACCGTATAAGGGTTCCAAGAGTTCACAATGGGACACATTATTTGCTGTTTTAAGCTACTGCCTGCAAACATGGGGGAGAGAGAAGCAAGAGAAACGGAACAGAAAAGGTCCAAAGCCCCACCATCCAAAATAGTATCATTTTCTGTTGTCATCTTGAATTTAACTACGATACATCCTGGTCTGTCTGAAACACAACATTTCAAAACCCAGCATGTTTTGCAACAGACACAAAATTAGAGTTAAAGGGATAAAATGGAACAACACCCCTGTTATCTTCTGAAGGCTTCTGCTTGTTTCTTAATATCCATCCGTAGCTTCAATGAAAGTGGATGGAAAAAATAGTTTCCTTTTATATAGCTTCATCTCTGTGCTTGCTGACCTAACTGATCCTGAGAGTACCACAGTTTAAATCTTTTTTCAGTATCAGAATCTACCCAGAGGATGCATTTAATCACATCACCTGGTTGCACTTATGGTATGTTGTGTGTTGATTGTAAGGATTTTATAGTTTCTGACCAGCATGTCGCGCCTCAGGATCTATAAGATGGAAATATGCATACTCAAGGTATTGCCCATACCAGCAGATCTATATTATTCGAAAAAATAAAATAAAATGAATAAAATGTCAATGAACATATTCAAAAAGCTATTTGTGCCAAATTGGTGCACACCAAAGATCTTTTTACTTCTAAGACTGCTCACAAAGTAATATCTACTAAAAGAGCCCCCCTATAGCAAAAGGCATCTCTCTACACTGGTATTTATATCCTACATTTAAATGAGGTTCTGTCCATGCTTTTAGGGGAAAGTCTGCCTATATTTATGTAAATTACTGCCAGAGCAAATTACTTCGGATTCTAAAATACCAGAATGTTTTGCATCTGCATGTATTTGGGGCATCTGTGTTATGAATGCTTAGAAAAAAAGAAAAATCTACATCTACATGCACGATTTTACAAGAAAAGTTAATAGACTGCAACATTTTCCTACATGGTCAAAAGAGCTCCATGGTCTTTCATTTCAAATAACGCTGTTTGTTGTTCTTGTTTTCTTTCATTAAGATTCCAAACAAGCCCTTTAATCAGATCATGGTCAGTAGTGAAGATTAATTTTTATAGAGTACAGGAAATAGAGGTCGAATTAGTAATAAACCTGTAAGTGGCTTCGAGCAGCTGTCATTCAGAGAGCAGAAGTCAACCTTAAAAGCCCTAATTTAAAGGCCGAAGGAGTTTGATAGATCACTGTGCTTCAGAAAAATACCGTAATCTTGGAAGAGAAGAGTGCTTTGTTTACATCTTTGTGTAAATAGCATTAGGACTGTTGACCTGGCAGAAACATGCTGTATCATCGACTCTGCTGAGTATCAGAATAAAAAAAGCTGCTAAATGCATCCAGGGCTTTTTGAGTAAAAAAAAAAAAAAAAAAAAAACTTTAGAATTATAAAAGAAGACAATATTATTGAAAATCTAATTTGATATAGATCAAAGAAAACTAAGCAAACCTGTTAGTAATTAAAAAGTAGTCGCTGACTCACATAGATAGAAACAAATCAATGCTTGGTTCGAACAATGATTTCTTTTTTCTTACTTGATAAAAAAAAAGAGAATAGTGAATAATGGCAATTTGCCAATTATTTAGCTTACTTTTATTTCAATTCATTTTTTGCAATCCTCTACTTATTTTCAGAAGTACTTAATAGATTTTCTTTCTTAAAAAAGCGTATTTCAGTTTTTTTTGCAGTCAAATTATCTATACTAGTTGTGCAGCCCTTTGTTAGCTGCTTGCTTGGTTTGAAAGCAATTCCTGATGAACATTTCAAACTTCTTGTTCTGCTCAGAAGATGGGAAAAAGTGTGCAGGTGGTTGTTGTTCTTTGTTGTTGTTGTTTTTTTTTTTTTATGAACACAAAGAGCACCCTGATATTGGTAATGGTAACTTGGATATTTCATGCTGGTATTGTTCAAAGCAGGACAGGTAAACACTGAAATAACACTGAAATAAAAAAACCTTAAAATAACCTTAAAAACATTTTATGAAAATGAAAAACAGAGTTGAGAACTGGTCAATTCAATTCAGTTTATTTCTATAGCGCCAATTCTCAACTGATGTCATCTAAAGGCACATTAAAATTCAATCAGATCTTACAGTCATAATGATTCAAAGCTTTCTATCTAAGGAAAACAAGTTGATTTCATCGACTCATTAACTCGAATGCAATCTCTCACACTAAGCATGCTTGTAGCGACAGTGGAGAGGGAAAAACTCCCTTTTAACAGAAGGAAACCTCCACCATAACCAGGCTCAGTGTGAGTGGCCATCTGGCCGACTGGGGTTCAAGGAGACAGAAGCAGAGATACAGAAGCAGAGATACTGGCTGTGTGCTCCGAGCCAGCTTCCATGTCAGAGGATGAAGAGAGCACATTCAGCCAGTCACAGTCAGAGAAACAGGACTACACTGAAAAAAACAGGCCGATCTCAAACATATGTAAACAAAGATTTTGATGGAAGCAGCACAGCTGACATTTCTCTCCAGGATGGGGTCTAAGCATAGTTCCCTAAAAAACATTTAAACCCTTTGAGCTTTTTGACATTTTGTCCTTTTACATCCATAAGCTTGATTTTCTTATTGGAATTTTAATTAAATATTCAAATCCTTTTTTTAGATATAAAATCACCTGAGGGACCCCTCAGTCCGAATCTAGGGTGAATTTAGCAAAAATCTTCATTATCAATGCTGACTGGAGAAGCATGCCTGTGGTGAAACATGGTAGGGGCGGCATCATGCTGTGTACATGTGTTTCTTTATCAGGCACATTCACAGTGATGTACAGCTGCAGCCAAAATTAAATGTATAATAATAATTTAATTGTAATAATCCATTTTGGTATCCTCTGACCATAGCACCATTTGCATTTGTTCTTTTTTTTTTTTTCTTACTTTTTTAGTTGTTTTGGATTAAACTGTTCTGTGAAATATTTAAAGCTTGAGCTGCTATTTTATGATATAACCCAGCTTTAAACTAAAATTGTTGTTGTAAATTCTCCATTCCCCCCACACAGATCAATACTAACTGCTGGAATATTACAGTGAAAGACAAGCATGCCCGGGTTATCATCCAGCAGAGCCGTGACACACCCAAAAGTCCTCCCATTAGGAGTGTTAGCTCCCCTACATGCTGTTAGTGAAGGGTTCACAGTCTGCTACTAAACATACCCATTGACACATAGAGAGTCACACAGCAGCAGCAGTCTGATGCTTGCCATCTCCGACATTGATTACCTGTCTTCCCCTGTCAGCCTCCTGTGGGTCGGCTGCATCGACTTTTAACAAACTGATGAAACACCGACACCAGGGAACTGTGGGATGCATTTAGACAGTGAAATATGCCTTTTGGCCACGTCGTGTTCAATTTGCATGCTTCCTGTTGCTTTTCAAGTAGTTTAAGTCCTGAATAAAACAAATGTGGTTAAAGTATTTAATCCATCCCGGATTATTTTCCTGTGCCATCTTTAGGCCTTGTGGAAGAGCTGTTGAAAGCCCCAGTGGTAAAAATGGCCGGGATGAGCTGGTCATCGTGGGAGAGCTGGTCAAGCTGCTCTCAGAGCTGTGCCAAAGGTTACCGCACCCGTCGGCGAACCTGTTCCGGACCAGAGGGGAAGAGCGCCCCAGTGGCGTGCCGAGGCTCTCCTGTGGAATACCAAGACTGTAACGTACAGGCATGTCCGGGTGAGTGAGAGCGACACCAACCTCATTCAGAAAATGCAAACAATCTAAAAGAAGGATTTTCTTTAGGGTTAAATAAAACTTAATTACTAAACTAAATGGCCCCATTTAAATCCTGCCGCTTGTTCTTGGTTTAAATCGTGGCAGATAAGCCTCCAGTGCCTAGTTTCGGTTTCTTCTGAAATCTATTATCATCTACTTTTACTCAAATTCAAGAATGAATGATGTTTCTATGGCATGCCATTAAGTTGTCCATCAGCTCCCTGTGCTCAGTTATTCAAGTATTGAGCTGTACTGCTAGTCTGAGATGTTTAAAAAAAAAAAAAAAAAAGTTAGAGTAAAGTACCCTGAGGTGCTCCGGATGAGCTGATCCCCTGGTTAGCCACTTGACCAATCAGTCTCTCAAACTGTTGCCTGTTTGTCCGGTAGTCTTTCAATCAGGCGTCTGTTAATTCCTAAACATGAGTCTTCTGAAGTTTCTGGCGAAGCAGATCAGGTTAAATCCTAGTAAATGTACTGGAGGAAATCAAAGAACACTTTCCTCATGGTGTTGTCTGCCTTGTCTAAATCACAGTGCATTTGTTAAAGCTGGTGTATGATAGCATAAAAATCTGCAGGGCAACCTTATTAAAGCTAATCATAAATATTTTACTTGTTAGTTTCTCTTCATAACGACAATATAACTAGAATTAAAAAGTTGATCATATGAAAGAAGTAAGCAGATGTAAGGTCTTCTATTGGCATTGTGTTAAATGTTTCCAGCACAATATTGGGTCTTAAAGTAAGGGAAGCAGAAAGAAGGAGCTATAGAGACTGAGTGCTAGGGGGTCAAAGATATTCGTTGAATACCGCTGAGTGGACTATTCCCTTCATTAGCTAATGGTTACCAGCAGCTGCAGCACTGCAGGAGGACTTCTTGAACAAATGAAGTTATCTATTTCAAACTGCTCATCAAAGCAGCATAATCAGTTGACCTGAAATACATCTGATGACAGATTGGAGCTCTGACAGGTTATTCTTATTATTCTTTAAAACACACAGATAACAGGAGTTGACCTAGATGAAGGTCTCCCCTTAAGAAAAGGAGATTTACGTCAATAACTGGTATCTTATGAAACAAGAATTTGTGTTTAGCCACTTCAATCTGTTTGGAATGTGAGTCGTTGTTGTTCAAAGTAAATCTTTTGTGGTTAGATTTTTGACATGACCTCAGGAAGCCTGGATTAGGTAGCCTGTGATGAATCATTTTGCCAGTACTGTCACGTTTCCTCGTGACCCCAGAGGACATGCAGGTGAGGAGGACCAGGCCAGTGACAGAAGAGAGAATGAGTGCGAAATAGTAATTGATGATGAAATTAGAGCGAGAGATGGAGGCAGTGGAGATGGGTGAAAAGATTAAAATAAAATGTCAGGGTCTCCACCTATGCTTTGGAAGCAGCCATCTGTGTGTCCACTCAGTGTGGCAGTAAGTAGCCAGAGTTACGTCTTTAATTATTAAAGTTCTGAATGAAAAGCAGTTCTCAAAGTGGTTTATAGAATTGAACCTTGGGGCATTTTTAGGAGCGTAATATTCAGTCATAATCAAGATGTTTCACTCAAAAAGGAAACATCAAACCCTTGTTTGAGAATATGTGTCAAAGACATTGTTCTTTCTTGTCAGAAAAGAAAAATAAACTCAGGCTAAGGAAATATAAGATAAACCGTGCTTCAAAAATTACACAAAAGGAAAATCTAGTAGTATATTTGATGCTATATTGCTGATTTCTGCAGTTTTGACAAATAATTTAATACGTGTGAGTTAATTAAAATATGTTACACGTAAGTTATGAGTTATACTTGTTACTGCCTGCAAAGAGAAAAAATAGCTAAAACCTTACCGTAAAATTATGATTTACAATTAACTTAGCGCCAGCGTTTTATCTTTTTAAGAAAGAAAAAATTTACAACACTTACTTAATTTATTAATAACTATTGAGTAGTTTTAAATTTAATGACTCAACTTAGCAAAAATAAAAAGCTATTTTTTGAAGTTGTTAATTAAAGTTGGGTTTTTTTGTTCGGCCTTTTCTGGTCGATTATTTAACAATAAACTATAACAAGATAATATTATCAAAACCTAATTGAGCTATGTGATTTGATAACCATTAAAAGGTTAGATAGTTAATGTGCAAAACATGAAAAAAATGTAAACCTTGTCTGTGTACTCATACCTTTACAAACACTTTTATGTAGAAGTAACTAAACCATGCCAAGGAGGAATGATATGAAGGTTTGTGTTTGAGTTTAGTGGCAACATTGCACTGAAAGTGGGTTTTTCCGCCACAGAGCAGCAAACAGATCCACCTCTAGATTAGAAGTAGCAATATTTCAACATAATAGTAACAGTAAAGTCCAGCCAAAATGGCCTCTGGAAAAGCAAGCTTTCAGGGTTATAAAAACATAAAAACCCTGGAGAGAAACTTTAAATTTTGGAAAATGGAAATCCAGCTTGATAACACAGGTTATGACAAGCTTTAAATGATGAGCAAGCATGAAGCAACAGTAGAGAGGAAAAACTCCCCACTGTGAAGAAACCTCTGGCATAACCAGGCTGAACATGGCGGCCTTCTGCTGGACCAGTTGAAATGAGACAGATAGAGATAAGAACGCAGCAAGCGTCTGGGACTCTGATGAAGCTTTAGCTAGGATGGTAGTGGAGGAGCTGTAGGTGGGTTGAAATGGAGTCATCTGACTTGAAGTCAGACATAGCACATCCACCGCCTGAACTTTGGGTAGCAGACGGAGTTGTGGATTGGAGACTTTTTAAGATGAACTCTGGATGCTGATTGGGCTTTTGTTCAAAGCTCATTAGCTTGGGTCGGAGGTGGATGAAGGTGAGTAATCAGTTTATTCAGTTGATCTTCCTCCTAGGCTTCATTCCGTTACCAAGGACAAAAAATTTAGTTTTCCATGATTGAAAGCATACATTTCCATTTTGATAAGAAATGAAAATCCACATTTAAAGTTTGGCATTATTAGACTTTCTTTGTCACAAAACCATGTTTCATGATATTTTAAGACAAGTACATAGCAGTGTAAACCTAGAATATTTATTTATTGTCTGGTTACAAGTTTTCTCCCGCTTTTCTGGATATGTCCTCTCCTGCTTAGCTCACAGCCATTTCACTCTGCCGACTGTCGGCTGACCGGTGATCAAGGAGAGCTGATGCCAGAGAGAACATGTTCAAACTTCCGCTTTCTCTCTCTAATCTGTCATCCAAATCAGATCCTAGTTTTGACTGGAGTTAAAGACCTTCTATCCATGTATTAAGAAATTAGCAAACGTGTATGATGGGAATTTTATATGTACAAGTATTTGAAAATCCCCCACTATTAAACAAACAGTTCACCTGGATTTCTCTTATAAATCTGTTCTTACAGAACTGAACAGCAGATTTGGTTTAGCTAACTGAACGTATAGTTTTTTAAGATTGCACAACTCATCACAGTCACACATCAAAACCAAAGGCAGTAAAACCAGTGATTGATTTTGGGTTGTTCTAATGCAGCGAGGCAGAATCACATCCAGTCAGTTTAGAGTCAGTCAGGCGGCGGTGTTACTCCCTGTGATAGCCAGTTAGTTAAATAGTCACGTCTTGCTTTACTTCATGTCATGCTTATCCACTCTGCTACAGAAGTCTTCAGCAGGACTCTGAAGTTACCTGGCAACGATGCTTTCCTGCCTTCAGAGAGACACCAGACCCTCAATGATTCACCCACACTTTTCTGATTAGATCAGATGAGGCATTTAACGGCCCTCACAGGAAGAGGAAATCAGTGCATTAAACAGGTAGAAGATGTACTAGGAGGTGTGATCAGGCAAACAGCAGCAGAATGGTATGAAGATACTGTTTATGTCCTGATTTATCCCTAGTTTGAAAGAAAAAAAAACCATCTAGATCTATTTAGATCAGGGGTGAACAACCCAAACTGTTCAAAGAGCCATATTGGACAAAACAAAAAACAAAAAAGAATAGTCGCAAAAAATGTAAAAGTCTTATATAATCCTTGGATGGCAACATGAGCTCTAAGTTTATTATCCAACTATAAAAAAGGACTAAGTGGGCTTAAATATTTATCCTTGAGCACATGTCACATTATATTACTATTCTGCTGTATGATATTTGGTGTTTAAGTGTAAATTCCATCACAATATTAGTGTATTAGTTTTTGTTGCTTTGATGAAATTATAGACACACAACAAAGAAATCGCATTTCTGTGTTGTTTTTATTTTGAGGATTTGGGGGTGAAAAAAATGGAAGAAAGTTTACATACCTGCATAAGAGCGCTACAGTATCTGTTGGATCTGTGAACGGTTTTCCATGTTTGCAATAAAACTAGCAGCAGTAGTGGAGTTTGGAGATGCAATCCACTTCTTAAATCTATCTTTTCTCTCCTCTAATTTATCCAGAAGTAGCCTACTGAAATGGTACTTTTTCTCTCACTTCCAACCTGGTGGTCGGCTGCATATTAAGCGTTCCTTCCCACAAGATTTGAGACACTGCATTCACGACAGGCAACCTGATAATCATTTCCAATGGAGAAAGCTAAATAGGTTGAGGAGAACCCAAAGGTGGCCACCCTGGAGGAAGAGCTTGAATGTACTAAATTTTAGGCGACCTCCAAGGTGACATGATACATAAGACTGAGGTGGAGCATATGAAGGTTGCATACCAAGAACTAAACTCAAGATATGAAACAGACGTTACCAAGAATGCAGTGCTGTTTAAAAGTATTTTTACATAGAATATATTTAAACTAATTCTGTTCTTATATAGAATAGAATAGAATAGAATAGAATAGAATAGAATAGAATAGAATAGAATAGAATAGAATAGAATAGGAAATCCTTTTATTGTCCAACAATGGGGAAATTGTGGTGTTACAGCAGGTAAAGGTTATAACAGCAGTGGTCACACAATGTGGACCTTGTAAAAGTGTATAAAAATAACAGAACATGGGGCATGATGTGTAACCAAAACTTTAGTAATAAAAATAAATTTTCTTTGTTCAAGTCAAGACAGAAAAGAGATCTATTTTAAAAGTTATAAATGCCAGGGTTCTTAAACTGCAGTAGTGGTAGTACTGGACACTCACAATGTACTTTTGGCCTCAGGAGGAAACTAATAAAATGAGTTATGTTGTGGATTACAAGTGGACTTAGTGATGGAATTTAGGTCAAGTTGTTGGATATTCAGTTTTAACAGTGGGCTAAATGCATTAAAAAAGTAAAACAATGATATAGTATATGAATTATTACAGCGTGGTGGTCTATAATTTTATAAAAGTATAACTTTAAAGCCGTTACCTTTATATGGCTGAAGGTAATTTGGTTTATTTTCGCAACCCCAGTCTTAACATGTTATGTATTGATCCCTTTCTTTTTCTCTTGGTTGCTTTTTTTATTTTTATTTATATCGCTGTTCTTTTTTTGTTTTTTAATTAAACGCAAGCTGAAAAAAAACAAAGGTCTAGATTTTTTTTCTAGTTTTAACAAGAACCAAAATCAATTAAATCATGATTCAAAGGGCGCAAGATCACACACAATTTGGAAAAATGTGTGTAAAGATTTGATTAAAATTTTGTTTTGGAAGACAAACATTCTTTCTCCTGTTTCTTTCTTTAAATCAGTCTAACACCTGATCTGATGCTAAATTCCTTTTAAAATGTTGAAGAATTGCTTTGTACAAACAACTATCAAAATCATCAATATATGCTTTGTCTCCACTCCAGAGTTGTTGTTATTATTCACTTTTTCTTTTACACTTTTAACGTTAATATTTGCGGAGGTGGTAAAAATGTGTATAAATGATTTGGGACCCCTGATTTGGGGCAAGCATATGATTTAGGGAATTTCTTGAAAAACAATCCATTTAAAATGAATCCAAGCAGAACAATTGGTTAGAAAATAAGATAAAAGTTTTTTGTTTATTTTTATTTACACAGTTCATATAATTTTATTTGATGAGCTTTACTTGAATTTCAGCCATTTTTAAATAAACAGCAACAAATGTGGGTTTGCGTTAACAGCTTGCCTTCCTGTCTGAAACCTACTGTTTCACTGTAACATGGCATTGTTACTGCTTTGGATTATGTAAAAGCAGTAAATTCTAATCTAGATGTGTGTGTTACAGTGAAAGGTGCGTGGTCCTGCTGGTCTTCCTGGTCGCAGTGCTCAGTGGGCTGCGGTAGTGGTCACTACCAGAGGACACGGTCCTGCAACAGCCCTGCCCCTGCAAACGGAGGAGACATTTGCATAGGCCTGCACACAGAGGAGGCCCTGTGTAACACGCACACATGTGATGGTAAGGGCATGCATCAAATTCAATGTACATCTCTGTCCTTTTACAACAGATTTAAACATTTTTTTGCACCTTGCCAAAAAGTGATATTCCAAATACTGTTTGTATTGCATAACAAAGACAAATTGTTTGATAAGTGAATTTTATGCAGCACAAAAAAGTGGATGAATATATGAGGATTGATGAGAGAGAAATGTTTTCACTCTTATTGCAAAAAAAAAATTGAGAAAGCTTTTTTTCTCTTGGAAAACCTTTTCTAAAATGTATTTATTTATTCTATGACAAAGTATTTTCTCTTAAGACATTTTCTTCAGCCTCAAATAATATCAGTTTTTGCTTTCAGTGGGACAATGTGTTCTCTCAAATATATTTATTTTACTTTCAAAATTATTTTCCTCATGCAGGTCCAGTTTTTATTGAATTTAATAAAAACTCAAAAATGAATCCATAGAAATGAAAACCACATGTGGAAAAATGAAATGACGTGAAATTCATAAAATTTTCTAGAGAAAGATGAGAATCACATGTGAAATTCATAGAACTTTCATGTGGAAGGTTGGAATCACATTTGAACACATGAAATCAATCAGATTTTTCTTTAGGAAATTATAAACAAATATGGAAGATTGAAATCATGTGTGAAATGTGAGAGATAGAAATGACATGCGAAAGGTGAGAACAACACAGAACTCCCATCATGTTTTTGGTCAGGGATCATAGTAGCTGATTAGACCATATAGCAAAATAATTGGAGCTTAGTTTAAGTTTTGGTTTATATTAAATTGTTAAAATCTGCACAAGGACCCCTGTCAGCCAGAGCTACAGTGAATAGTTTCAGTCAAATGATGTGCATGTGTTAGAACAGCTTTGGAATATCCTTACCTAAATATAACAGAAAATACTTTGGTAACCTTGAGACAAACATTCACAGACAATTTTCCTCCAATCAGATTGATTTTAACTTGTTTTGCACAAAATCAATTGTAAAAATGTTCTTCAGACGTGCAGAACTGGTTAAAGAAAAAGAAAAAAAGCAACTATTACTCCAGTAAAAGGTGACTCTACATGGTTGCATCTGGGTTACTAAATAGATAATATTGTTTTACTTCAGAGGTACCCCTTGTATGTATTAATCCTCACATTAAAAATCCAGTTTAGAAGTTTGTAATTCAAACATAAAGAATGAATATGAACAACATAAAAAGAGTTAGACTTTTTTGTGCAGGCACCATATGTTCTTGTCATTTCTGTGCTGCCTCCTTTAGTAAGCTAGATTCATTTATCTTTTTCTAATGAATTAAGTGGGTCTTAGATAAATGAGTAGATAAAAAGTCATGCTGAGAAATCAAGACACCTCCCCTGCTGTGCAGCTGGAGCTTTGAGCACCATGGCAACATCTCTGATTTAAAAAAAAGAAGAGATCCACTCATTGCTCTTATGCATATGGATACTTTTCATGATGCATCTGAACAACAGTTTGTGTATCTGAGCAGGGTATGCTTAATATAAAAAAAAAATGGTGCCAGATGTTTCAGAAACGCTCAGTTTAATGTAAGTTTAGTGTCTTAAAACAGGAAAAAAAAATTTAACGCATTATTTATCAGAATTCTAAATGCTTAGCTTGTATAAAGAAAGATTTTTAGCCCCTAATTCATAACAACTGAGGCTGACATTTCTGTCGCTTCCCGTCTCTGTTCAGTTAAGGTGTGAAAATTCGCTGTGGGCGCCTCAGAATTTTTTCCCTCATTTGGGATTGTTCTCCTTAACCTCTGTCTTTAAGTTGTTTGGTAGATAAAGTTTTCTATTCTAACCAGACTCACTATGGAATAAAATAGAATTTTGCATTTAGGCCTCAGATACAGGAAAAAACTGCACTCAATAGTCTTTATATATAAAAAAGCTTTTATTACAAAACTAAATTCCACAAACATGCTAGGACAAAAGTCAAAAATGCATCTAGCAACCCTCAAATAATGAAAAGTGTAAAGATCCAAGCTGAGCTTGCAGGAATGCCACTTTTCTAGAGTTATAGAAAACATTCAGAGTGATTACTTTGGCCTGCTAAACTACACTATAGATAACTTTTGTAAGTTTTTTTAATTACAACCAGAACACAAAGTATATTTTACTGGTTCTTTATGTGTCAGACCAATGAGATGTTTAGCAGTTATATAAATTTGAATATACAGTTCTTACTTTCAGAGTGGTACCCAGTAGCAGTCCAAGCCAATTTTTGAATCCTCAAGTCAGAGCACTTTCCTCCAAGTGTTTCCTGTTTCCCCTACAAGGCCTGTGGCAAACAGCAAAATCAGATTCTTATTTCTCTCTTACATCACTGGCTTGTTGTCACTTGTGATGCAGGGGGGATTTGTTAAATGCATGCCAATGCGCTTTAAAGAAACAGTCCCACCTGATCTGCTGAACATCAGCTCTTTTATAGTTAAAATTTGCCTCTTTGTCTAGATAAGGGCTCTGAAACTTCCAACTTGGACATCATAAGTGGCTGTTTGGAACCGCTACAATGGATCTTAATAGTGCCTTAAAATGGTATACTTAGGTTACCAGACTTTTCAGCTTCTGACAGTATTAATAAGTATAGTATCTAATCTAGTCCATTTTAAAGTGATGCTTTCATATATTCAAGCACTTTAATATTAATTTTTAATGTTTAGTTTTGTTAAAGATAGGCTCCGTGTCTACACCTTGAAGCTTTCTCTCTCCGGTTCTTTTCCCTGAAAAAAGATCACTCGGGACAAACTCTTTAAATTACACTTCATAACTTATATGTATTAAATAACCAGGAGACATGACAACAGATTCTGATAGAAATTGTAAACTTGCTTAGAATGTACAGAAGGCAGCTGCTCACCTCTGGGCTCACCTCTCAGGAAGTGTCCCCATTAACAGTTAAAAAGGCATTTTAAACATCTCCAGTCTGCCACATTATCATATTTTACATCATACACATTAGCAGATGATTAGACATCATGGCTCCAGTCTTATAAAAAATATTACACTTTGTTCTTAGCTGAAGGACACCTGCTCTCATTCCATTTCCAAACGTTTGCTACGTACAGAATTAGATTAAAACGTCAGTTCTGACACACAACAGGCCGCCCATACCAAGGTGTGATAAACTCAAACATCTTCTATGATAATTATCCTAACAGTTTAATTTTCTGAAGTGGATCTCAAGACCCTGAACAGGTTTATTAAGGTTTATCATGACCCCAACTTTGGTAATCAAAAGAACAAACTAATACAATATAATAACAAATTCCAGTATAACAAATATTAGGACCAAGCTAGAGATTTTTTTTTTTATTTTATTTGAGAAAAAGTTGTAACATTATGAGCATAAAGTTGAAAAAATAATGAGAAAATAGTCATCATACCACAACCCGTTTCAGAAAGAGGGCTTCAACCTCCGATCAACAAATGACGGCTGACCAGCTCCACCAAACAGCAACCAGAGTTCACTTTGACATCCTGCCCAATTTGATGCTGGTCTGCTAAACGATTTCCATATTTGTCAAACTAGAGCCAAAGTATAACTTCTCATGATGCTCGACATTCCTCATTTTAGGGAAGAAAGTGCTTCATGTAAGTGTTGTTATAAAATACAACTTTATTCTCATAATATTACGTCTTTATTCTTGTAATGTCGTGACTTTATTCTCAAAATACTGGCCTTAATACTTGTATAGAAGCTTTAGCACTTTTTTAAAATATACATTTTATTGGATTTTCACAACAGAATGGCATTAAAGGAATTAGAAATATGTTTTTAGATCTGTTTTCAATTTAGTTCAGTTTATTTATATAGAGCTAATTCACAACACATCATCTCAAGGCACTTTACATCCAGTCAAATTGATTCAAAGTTTTCTATCTAAGGAAAATCAGTTAATTGCATCGACTCATTGACTCAAATGCAATCTGTCACACTAAGCATGCTTGTAGCGACAGTGGAGAGGAAAAACACCCTTTTAACACAGTAAAGAATTATATGTTTAAAAAAAAATAAAAAATAAAATAAATAAATAAAATAAAATAAAAAAATATATATATATATATAAAAAAAAATAAACTAAAATAAAAAATAAATATAAAAAAATAAACTAAAAAAAAAAAAAAGAATTATATGTTTTTTTTTAAGGTATTTTATTGAACAAAATTCATACTTAATCTTTATGAAACTTTCATGTATTTTCCTTATTTTAAAAGCCTAGAACATAGCAGATACTTAACAAAAAATATGTTCAAATATGTGAAAATTATATAATATTTGCTGTTCTAAACAACCTGGACTCAGGGTGAATTGGCTCTTCGGATTGAAAGATTTGTGCCGAGGTCTTTGGTCCTCCTGCTGTTTAACATGTAATCTTCTGCTATGAGGCCATGACAGGGCAGCTTGATATCTATGGAGATTAAATTACACACAGCTTGAATCTCTGCTATTTAAATGACTTCTGAAGTAAATGGATTATTGTGAATATCTTTAGGGATGGCAGAGTAAAACATTTTAAATATGTACTCTATGTATGCTACACCTTTCAAACTTTTATTGCTATTAGTCCATCAATTGTATATACCCATTTATCATTTTAGGGTATGGCAGCTTTTGTTATTGGTTGAAATGTGAGGTAAAAACTTTGAATTCACCAGTACTGCAATTATCTTTATTTGCAAAAATGTAACTATTTAGAAGCTTTTTCAAGTGGAAGATAAATTACTAAATATTGTTTTTGTAAAAATAATGTATCATATATAGAATACAACACAACACTGTTTTCAGCTTCTCTTTTGATCCTGTTTTCTTCAGACAATGAATGCAGTGTTATGTGGGAAGTATAACAATGTTGTCCGTTCCTCCATCGTCTTCTTCAGCTCCATTCCCACATGGACACTGGAAGATTCATGAGATCAGTCTCCTAATCCAAGATGATTAGAAGTCCAACATCAGATCTCAGAGGGTTTCGGCCTGACTCTTGGTTTTAATATCAAATGACCAGCACTCTGCATAGCTTTTCTGTTCATTCACATGGAAATCCAAAAAATGACCCATGATCATTGTTGTGTAAAGCTTGTGTTTAGACGGATGACTTGAATTTGTTGTTGTCTGGCTGAATTAAATGGCTGCTTCGCCTGAGCTGTCATTTTTCTCTGCTGCTTTTCATTCTGAATCAATCAAACTGTCATTCACAGAGAGAGTAATGCATACCGTCAGCCTCCCTGGTAATTACAAGAGTACCCATGGGTTTGTTCCTTCCCCCCAACACCCTCCCACACACACACACCAGACACTAATCATGCTTTGTTATATCATCTTAATGCTTTCCTGTTTGACGTTAAACAACACATCCGCTTAACCCTGCATCAGTCTGTATCTGACTGCTTGTCTGCTCATATATCTGCAAGCAGGCAACCCCTCATCTTTGTCCGTGTATAATTAGAGCCAATCTGGAGCGATGTTAGGATTATTGTATGTTCTCATTAGATGTTGCTTTATTACAATTTAGAGATTAGTAAAATAATTTGGGGCTCATTTCCTTCTTGATTTTTTTTTTTTTTGCCGTTTTTACCCACCAAATCGGTTCTTTTTAGAGCAATGATAAAAGACGATATTAGAAAAGTAATGAAAATGTATTTGTAAAACATTGCTGGAATAGTTTCTCATATATTGCTAAAAAGGGAATTTGTAACATGCTGCAGGTGTGAAGGCAGACGCTGTTCACTGTAGATTGCGGTTTGATTATGACTTTAAAACACAATTTGAAATAGATTTTATGATCTGATATGAAATGATAGTACAATTAGCACAGTTAGCATTTTTGAAAAACAGCAGTGAGGGTGGTGATTGTTGCTTTATATTATATGCTTATGTTCTATGCACTGCTGGTAGCACTGCTGCCTTGCAGCAAGAAGGTTCCGGGTTTGATTTCCTGCCAGGTGTCTTTCTGAATGGAGTCTTTATGTTCTCCCTGTGCATGTGTGGGTTCTCTCTGGGTACTCCGGCTTCATCCCCCAGTCCAAGAACATGACTGTTAGGTTAATTGGCTTCTCTAAATTCTCCTTAGGTGTGAGTGTGTCGGAAAATGGATGGATGGATGGATGGATGGATGGATGGATGGATGGATGGATGGATGGATGGATGGATGGATGGATGGATGGATGGATGGATGGATGGATGGATGGATGCTGTTACTTAGAATCAAAAAATAAACATGTTTAGAATCTAATATTAGCATTTAGGATAACTAGCATTGCTAATAGACAACTTAACTATAGCCTACCAAGGGAATGTAGATTCTTTATGAGTTTGACTATCATCATAATTTGTAAACCCAACATTTATAAAGATTTAAAAAAGTGTAAAACAGGCCAGCTTTACCTGTTCTTGTTATTTGCTAAAAGTCTCCCTTTATGCAGCCTGAATGAATGGCAGACATATCCCAACATTTTCAGATGCTTCTATCATCTCTATGAAGTCTAATTTTCAAAATAACCTCTGTGATAATAAATGCTCTATTCCTTCACATAGCATCACCAATGATTTTGTATTTTGATGTCTAATTAGTCACCAGTCAGGGACAATTAAGGCTGAAGATCTTGTTACCAGATATCTGTTAAAATATCTTCATCTGAACTGAGCACAGCAACAGTTTTTAGCATGGAATACCAATGAGGAGCCCTGGGCTTTTCTGCTCTGAGGTTATTCTTACATTTGAATTACTTGGCGTTTTCATGTGCCCAGAGGCTGTCGCTGAAAGGAGGGAACAGATTGTGCACACAAAGCGGCAGGTCGGTCAGTCCGGGACTGATAGGGAAGGTAAAAGTGGTCAATTCGCTTCTTTTTACCGAGATTCCTTCTGCCAAAACTGCACACTCAAGAGCAAGCTGCGTACCTAACTAGCTTTTTTCACCCGTCTTTCATCACTGTACCCTATGCTCCCTCCACTCCAGTGCTCTTGAATGCTGGGTAAAAGAGAGCAGTAAGTGTTTAGTTCAACGGGAGTCGCTGAAACAGGGGGAGTTTTCTTTTTGCTTTTTGGGTTGGAGCTTTTGTTTACTGCTTGGTTGCCTTCTGTAGGGAAACGGCACTGGAGCCGCGCTCGGGAGGCAAATATCTCTGCTATGCACTAAAGAAAGCAGCCTTTGGGTTTACTTTTTCAATCCTGTTTACATGACTGAGCCCCTTTTGGTGTGTTTGGGTCGTTTTGCTGGCTGGTGAGGTGATGACAGCTTGGGTGGGCGCATGGTTTCCAGACTGTTCTTGGTTTAACTTCACCTTTTTTAGATGTCTGTGTTTATTTTGATTCCTCTTTTTTTCCTGTTTTCAGGTGGATGGATGGCCTGGTCTCTGTGGTCAGCCTGTGACGACTCAGGCTTTCAAACCAGGAGTCGGGTGTGTGGCGCTCAGGGCAACACCCCCTGCCTGGGGAACAGCACTCAGCGCAGAGACTGCAATGAAATACCAGGTGAGCAGCTGTCGTATGTAGCCTCCTTTCACTGTTTCACAGAATGGCAACATGTGTTTTCAATCCTAGAAAAAATATTTAGATAGATTTAAGATTGGGTTTTCTTTTTATTAATTAAAAATTTATTGTATGAGACTATGACTAACAGATTAATTTATTTGAACACTTTTGAAATAATATCTGGTGTCAAATCATCGGTGGGTATTTTAGCTCAGTTTATTTAGGAAATAAGACTCTATTTTAGAGTTAAAAACTTTACATGAGGCATGGGAGGAAGTAATAAAGTCATGGTACATATTCTGGTTTATAATATCCAGATACTGATGAGCTATTTGGTCTCAAAGTCGTAGAGGTTTGTTCTCTCTGGTTGCCGTTTAGATCATTTCCGCTTCTATCCCTTTTTTTTTTAACACAACGCTACTGGCATTTATTTTTTAATAAAAGCAGCAGATTCACTCTCCATCTCCTAAGACTCTTCCTCTTATCAAAAATAAATCGTGGTAATTAAGCTTCATCCCCATCATCATCTTCACTCACCCAACCTCCACAAACAAAAACATGTCTGTGTGTGTTGTTGACATCCTTGGGCTACAAAATTGTCTCCATCAGTTAATTGCCTGTAATTAGATCCACGTGAATTCAGTAAGTCAGCAGTTCACTCTGTCGGCCCTCAGCACACCTCGTTATGCTGAGGTAGGTCTCAGAAACTTTTTCCTTAAATGATCTCTAATGGCCTGCCAGCGTCGGGTTTTCAAGTCTCTGAATCCCTAATGAGTCAAAACGAAGGCGATTAATATTAATGGAACGTCACAACACTGAATCACATCACACTTTATTGCACATTTCAATGAGGCCGTGGAAGGATCGTTTAAGCTCTTTAGTGTGTGTGTGTGGGGGGGTGTTGACTCACGCAGACATCAGGTTTAATCTCTTTGGAAAAAACTTTGCAGCGAGACAGAATGTCCTGAACAAGCAAACGATTTTCCTGATGTAAAACATCTTTAATATAGTTTGATCTAACAAAGACCTAGTGGGAATTTAACTTATTTAACGAGGTAGAAGGTGAACTACTCTCTATGGACCCTTTGCACAAGATGGAGAAGTCACTTTAAAATCATCATATTTCTCATACAATGTTCTCATTTCTGCATGTTTCAGTGTCAGTTTGTGTTCTGAAGCCCGTTTCCCCAGGGATAGCCGACACGTGCATGACTCCGTGTGTGTTTGCATGCCTGTTTGTGTGTCTGACTTGTGTTCCTCTCCTCTCCACAGTCATTCTTCCAGCATCTGGTTTTGATAAGGACCAACAATGTGGAGGTAAGTGGATTAAAAGCTTGCCCAAGCTTTGTGCATGTCCCCCCCCCCCCCCCATGTTTCCACAGATGTCTGGAACTCAATGTGTTTTTCATGCATAAAATATACATTATCATGTTTGTTGTTTCACTCTCTGCAAAGGTCTAAGATCTTACTGGAATCAAATTCTTACACGTAAGGTCCAGTTATCGTCACAAAAGAAAATGTGCTTTAAAAAAGGAAATAACTTTTGAAAAAAAAAAGGATAATCGGAAATAAAGTGATTAATTGGTTGCTTCACAGAAACCATGTAGCATTCAGGGACTGGTCTGGGTTATACATGATTAAATTGATATCAGGGCTGCATAACTACATAATTTTGTTTAGAACACTTAAAAGAAGTCCAACAAGATATTTCAGTCATCTATTTTGATCTAATGGAGTTTATTCCAAATTTGTGGAGCATGAAAACTGAATGATGCTTCTACATGTTTGGTTTAGTTTCTTAGGATGTTGAGTCACCCTGAACCTGCCGACCTAATGGAGGATTGATAAAACAACAAAAACAAACAGCTCTACAATATTCAAATAAAACACGGTTAGACTCACCAACCATGCTAAAAAAGTATTGCTTTAATTATTACGTATTCTGTGAAAGTCTAATGCTATATCATCAAAAATAAAAAGCGTCTCGTAGCTTAGAGTTATTAGTCAATAAATATATAAGGGGAAGTGCACCGATCGGAGATGTCATGTTGCATCGACATTTTTGATCAGAATAGCTGAAAGGGGACAGACCTTAGACAGCCTTACACTGTTTTACGCGGCGTTCGAGTTGATTGCTTCCCGTTATCATCTCAATCCTCATCGCCATGTAGGTGGTCAAAAACATCACACCTCTTAAGCCAGGTCTGCAACGACCTCAACGACTCCCCATTGCAAAGGGTTTGACCTGTTTTCGGTTCAATTTGCGTGTTTTTTCAGCCACAACAAGGCTTTTGATGGATTACTCTATAAAGCCTGGAACTCAGCGCTACTCCAGACATTTTGAATTGAGAAAGCTTCCCTGAGGGAAAGCAAAACATCTTCAAACCTGGAAAACAAAGTCCAGTGGTTTGTTTTTAACTGTTTTTTAAGTTTTACCTGTAAGTAGAAAAAGTGTTGTGTTCAAAGCAAGAAAAATAAATAATAACTGGGAGAAAACAAGAGTTAGTGATGTTTTTAGCAGTTGGAGACACTTTATGAGGGAACAAGGCTTCAAATAACAGGCTTTCTGCTGGACAGGTGAGGTAATTCAATATAGCAGTGTTTATTCTAGCATTATATTAGAAACAATGTTAGAATAAACACAGCTGTGGAATCCATTCCTCCCAGCTGATAGTTTGTTTTTAAGCCTGCTCTGAATGAGCTCCAATGCGACAGTTATTCGTTGCTGTTTTTCCCCACAGAGGTCATAATGTACAAGCAGGTGACCTTAAGCTTGTTTCAGCTGTTTTCAGTGAATTGGTTAATGTGTTTAATTGTTTATTTTAGCTGATTTCACAAATACCTTCGATTCAAGAAGAGTAGAATGTCACTCCACAGCTTCCATTGTTGTTTCTAATTAATTTCGTAGACCACAAAATAGAGGTAAATCTTATACAATGTCCATTTAAATTCTGGTCTTAAAGCTTTTGAAAGTTTATTTTTAGGCAAATATGATCATAAATATTTTAAAAAGAAAAACAGCTTTGCTCTGTTACATCGGTGGCCTCACCCCTGCGCTGTATTACATGTTGCTTACTTTTCTGATTATATCCTTAGATAGTGCATAAAAATCTTTCTTTGACATTTCTTAACGACCATGAAAACCTCCGTGGAGACTGTAAATATAGAAACCGGGAAAGGTTTTTTTTCTCAGATGTAGTCACCAATTCTGGCAGTTTATAAAGTAATTTCCTTTTAAGGAGAGTTTATGTGAAGGTGAAGCAATCCGTAAATAGGGACACTTAAAGGAGGCTGGGCACATTGCCTTAACATTTCTACCTCAGTGGAGATGTTTGTGGGTTTATTTTATTTTTTTTTACATTTTCTTTTTTCCCTCAGCTCTTTACTCCAGTTCGAACATAAAAATAAGATGTTCTTTTAATCTTTTTTTTGATATGCTGTTATTTACTAAAGCTCTTTATCTACCACTAGCAGTGCTTGATGCACTTCATCCTTAATTAGCTTTGATAGTTCAGTATAAGCCTTAACTTTGTCTCTAAGTATGACAAACGTAGGTGTGAAAACACAAAATTCCCTGTGAAGCCAAGGTTGGATATTACTGTTAAAATTTAATTAATGTGTTTTTCAATTGATTTAATAATAATAATAATTGAACATCATTGATCTCACAATGGAGACATTCACTTCTGCATCTTAACCCATCCCTTTGGGGAGCAGTAGGCTGCCATTGTGAGGCACCTGGGGAGCAATCAAGGGTTAAGGGTCTTGCTCAGGGACCCAGAATGCAGGCTGTGTGGATCAAACCGGGTACTGGCAACCCTCTCCAAGCACAAGCACACTGCTATAACCACTAGGCCACCACTGCCCTTTAATTTATGTATAATATAAAATATTATAGTAGCTGTCCTCAAAATCTGTCTTTCAAATTTCACCACAGCCAATATAGATGTCCATGCAGAGTTATAAATAGAGAGACCAAGGGCAGCATTACATGTCATCTTTGGACCCATTCTGGAGTAAATTAACCTTGTTCTGCAAGCTGGACTGTCGCAAGATCTGAGTTTTTAGTCTCACGAGAAATCGGTCTTGAAAGACTCCCACTATTACGACAGACCAATGATATGCCAGCAGTGTTTTTTTGGGGGGGCGGGACATGTAGGAATGACGAGAGTCAGAAGGGCCTTGCAGGGGCATTAAAGACATGGCTACGCTGGAGGACTCGCCTGTCAGTTTTACTGTAGCTAAAATAGCAACAATTTCTCATTCAAAAAAGGAGCAAAAAGAAGCACTTTGTGCATTTGTAGATGGATTTATGTCATTTTATTCTAACAGGATTTGGAAAAAGTTTGATTTGTCAGTTTACGAAACGTCACATTTCGCTCCTACGATTGGATGAAACTGTATTATGGAAGGCCGGTACTAGCTGGCACGTCACCCAATCAGCTCGAAGTATTGTACTAAATGTCCCTCCTTTTCATGGACAGATTGAACAGTAGCCATCCCAGATGTATATGTAGAACTCAACTAAGTTCTACTCATATAAATCTGGATACTGGCAGATTAGAGTAAACTGGCTTCAGTGGGAGAAGTCTTAGCTCGAAATTGTCCTTCATAAAAGGGGATAAAGTCATGGAGTCAGGATAACTTATTACAGGGTAACAATCCAGTACCATATTTAGTGAAAGAGTGATGCCCAAATATTTATGGTAAAGATGAGTAAATTTAATCCCTTGTCTGGATAATCTATATTAGACTTTTGATCAAATTCTGTGTCATTTTCGTTTGCCAGCTTTCACCTCCATCCACCTAATTGCCACGGGCGTTTCCTGTTTCCTCGGGGCCGGGCTGCTGTCCTTCCTGATCTACGTTTATTGTCAACGATTCCACAAACCCTCGCAAGAGTCTGCCGTCATTCATCCAACCACCCCGAACCATCTCAACTACAAAGGCAACACCACACCAAAGAACGAAAAGTACACACCCATGGAGTTTAAGGTATGCCTTCCCAAACGGAGGATCTTCTTAAAATGCAAGCACAGGAAGCAGAGATTAAACAGCAGCAGTATATCTCCGGGTCTGTTTGATGCTCGTATTCACTCAGTTCTCTAAACGGTGCATTATCACCTTTTCGTGTTCCAAAACTTTTTCATGGAGGTTTTAAGCCCCTTATACAGTAGCAGCACATCTTATAGATGTCATATTAACTTTAACAGCAACAGTAAGCTCCCACTGCTTTACACATATTTTATATGCATAAAGAACAACATTTTTAAAAAGCGATACACTCTTGATATTTTCTGTTAATTTGTCCACGTTTGTTCATATTTTCAAGGTAAAATGCTTTCCGATCAGCACTGCATAGATCAGTAATCTATTTTTAGGTCTGTTTTAGTGCAGCTCAAATGATGTTATTCTGTTTTATTTGTCAGAACTTCTGCATCGATGTGAACCATCTGGGTTCCTTCGGTTAGCTTTTATTAGATGTTAAGACTTGATTCAAACTCACAGGTGGCAAAGCATTATCATTGCTGCTCTGTGACTCTGGAATGATCTATGCACATCAGACAGGCTCTGACACCTAAAAAACAAACTTTTACTCCTTGGCATTCAACTCAGAGCGAAACGTTGACAGTGATGTTTTTATTTATTTATTTATTTTATTTGTTGGAGTCTTTATTATTCTTATCACACCTTTATCTTGGTGCATGGCTGTTTTTTACCCTTAGCCTGTTTTTAAACTCATTCTTCTTTATTCTGATGACTGATCACCCACCTTGCTGTTTTATAGTATATAATGAATTAAGCTTTATGGTATAGTGATATATTTGTTTAGTCTGGTCAGTTAAATTCCCTAATTGAGTGATGGTTTGCATACAAACAGGCTGCTGCAGAGGTTAAGTCTGTTTCAGATCAAATCCTGATTCATTTTCAAACATCTAAAGTGTTGCAGAAAACAGCTCTTCCTCAGCTATGATTCCCATTCTCTGTGCGATGGTCATCACAGCCTCCTGAATCCTCGTCATTAATGTTGCGGCTGGTTGCACATGCAGCTGAAAACCATTGTGGTGTTGAGAGCCTGAACTCATTAGCTTTAATGACTACAGGGGGTGGCCAGATTCTGCCGGATGCTCAGCCGGTGTCCTAATACCACAGCTCCACTTCTGTGCAGCAGGTTCCCTCGGCTCAAGGCCAATTTATGTTGCCCCGCTTGTGTATTTCACCGACTCTAACCTGATTATCTGCCTGCCTCTGTCTCCAGAGTTGTTCAGATGGATTACATTAGTCAAATGCTTCCCGTGGAAAACGTTTGGCTTTTTCTTGTGAGTAGGGAATTGCATTAAAATAAAATATGGTCTTTAGGCTTTTTATTTGAGCTATTTCCAATAAATACCCATGTATTATAGATATAGATATAGGAAATATCTGTGTTTTGCAGCATAGAGTACAGCTGACAGGATTCAAATTAGATTTACGCTGGTTTTGTGTGGTTATAAACACACACATGCAAGCAAAAACCAGCAGGCATCCTTTATTCTATTGACCTGCAGGGAGGGATTAGTAGTCCATGTTTTATATATATTCTTAATCATCCTCAAACGCAACCAAACATCACTTGAGCTTTTATATAACTATAAAAAAGAAAATAAAACATTTTCTGTAAATACTGAATACATAATTTATGCAACAAAGAATCATTTAGATTTAGATTGGTTATATATTCTTTTAAGAAAAACAACAGAAATATCTTGATGTCAAAGCAAATGGGGAAACTTAAAAGAAAGACATGAGTGAGTGACTCTTTGGTTCAGTTCAATTCAGTTCATTTCTATAGCGCAAATTCACAGGACAAGTCATCTCCAAGGCAATTTACAGTTCACCAGATCATACAGTCAAATTGATTCAAAGTTTTTTAACAAAGGAAAACCAGTTGATTGTATCGACTCATTGACTCGAATGCAATCCCTCACACTAAGCATGCTTGTAGCAACAGTGGAGAGGAAAACTCCCTTTTAACAGGAAGAAACCTCCAGCAGAACCAGGCTCAGTGTGAGCGGCCATCTGCTGAGGCTGACTGGGGTTCAAAGAGATAGAAGCAGAGACACAAAAAGCAGCTGTAAATGGTGGCCCCGTCCAGAAAACACACAGCCAGACAGACGAGTTCCGAGCCAGCTCCCATGTCAGAGGATGAAGAAGGCACAGCTAGCCAGTCACAGTCAGAGAAACAAGACTACACTGAAAAACAGGGAAATCTCAAACATCTATATAAAAAGATGTCGATGGCAGAAGCACAGCTGATATTTCTCTCCAGGATGGAGTCACAGCCAAACAGGAACAGTTAGCAGTGTCTCCCCCTAGTCTGGGTCCAGAGTAGCCAGTGATGGTATTACCAACACAATGCATACAGGCTGAAGCTATGCAGCTAAAGCTGTGGTTCATTGCTTACATTGAAGAATGTTAGTCACTACATGTAAGATTAGTTGGATGTAGATCTTCTTGTGGGGATGGCCTGGACTCTTTTTCCAGGTGATGTGGGCTTGCTGATGGCTGTAAATTATCTATCTCCTCATCTTAGACCTAAAGACACATAAATAATGTGACATTTTTTACAATCATAGGCTGGTCACGTACAACGTTTATGACAAATAACCTGCTCTCATAGTATTTGTTATTTTTGTCCTTTAACCTTTGCTTTCGCTCAATTTCTTAGTAAGCAAACTCTTTCTGTGTATATTTAGCATAACAACATCATGTAGGAGCATGCATATAATTAGTTAACACGCTGAAGCAATGGAGGCGAGCAAGTGTGGAACTTTAGGCATAGTTGTACTTTTTTCTATCCATGAGGACAAAACTAAAGTTCAGGAAGTATATGTCCTTGCTAATATCGCTAGCAATGCTTTAAGGCCATTTTGAATACAACGCTTCGAATGTTTGCTGGGTTGGACCCATTTAACATGAACCCACTTGACCTTACATCCACAAAACAGCGGGGGAACCTCTGACCTGAACTAAATGAATTAATATTGGCTACAGGCTTGTAGATGCATCGGCGCTGAACTGCTGAGGTATCAGTCTGAACATAAAATGATATTCTAGTCATATAGTAATATAAAATGTTCATTTTAAAGATATTTTTCAGTTACATATTTTATCTTTAAATATGTTGTCTGAATTGTTTAAAAAAAAAAAAGAGTTTGTGTCTCAGCTATATTAAAGTAGCGGGGTTGTTGTTGTTTTTTTCATTCCAGACACTGAACAAAAACAACCTGCTGCCAGATGAGAGATCTAACTTCTACCCGACGCCACTCCAGCAGACCAACGTCTACACAACCACCTACTACCCCACACCGCTTGGTAAATTTGACTACCAGCCCAACTCCTCCCCATCACCATGCAGAACCTACAACAACAGTAACAACAGCTGAGACACAACCCACAGCTGATCCTCCATCCCCGCCCCCGCCCCAAATGGACACCGGTACCACGGTGACATAAGTGAACCAATGTGAACTGAAATGTTATTCAGAGCTTGGCAGTGTTTCTCTGCTCACCGTCACCTCCCGGCTCCCATAGTCTCTTCTGCCTGGCTGGGGTTTGTGTTTTCAGCTTTCCATCAAGAGACGCGGATTTGGACAACAAAGCCTGTGTCCTGGTTAAAAACAAGAACTTATGCAACCCGTTTGGGGGGTTTGTTTTTGGAAGAAATCCGTAGGGATGTAGCTGTGTCAACCCAGCGTTTCATGTGGGGAATGACTGAACAGAAATCCAACAGAGGCCAATTCTGGCTTTGAGGGGATTGTTGTTACTACTACAGTGCAGGTGACGGTCGAGGGTCTCCATCTGCAAAGACTGACATGATGAAATAAACATTTTTAAGGGGTTCACGTTACCATTTTTTTGCCTCTCCATTACAAACAACATTCTCGACCCATAATGGACTTAAAAGCAGTTTCAGAGAACAAAGGGCACATGTGTTCACGTCTCTACCGCACAGCACAGAGCGAGGGAACAGCAACAAAGGAGAAAACTGAATGAAGTTGATGACAAAATAAATTACAGATCAATATCAGCTAGGTTGTATGGGAGGGGAAATGCACGCCCCCCTTTGTTGGTATTCCACATGACGGGAAAGATAAGTTTGAAGTAGATTAAGCTTTTGTGTGGCTGTTTGGGGAAAGAGAGTCACATCAAGCACCGTCACCCTCAGCTGGAGAGAATTATTGTCTAAATCTGCTTTTGATCAAAGTCTCGATTCTTTTGGAGGACAAGGACGTGCTCATAAGGTCAAAGCTGGGAACGTTCGTAGGGGACATGGGAAACTGTAAAAGCTTTGGGAATGCCGTGGGTGCCTGAACACAACAGAGAGGGGGTGATACCTGTTCCCATTTATGTTTCTTCTTTTTTGATTTATCCAAGAACAATAAGGACTCTTGGAGAAGAGAATTGACTGATTCTCCAATAAAATCTCCACTGAATGAATGCAATTCTACTGAGTGCTGAGTAGCTCAGTGGTCATATCAAATATGGCCGGTGTGCTAAAGAACTGGATGGAGGTTTTCTATGATGGTAGAATAAGCTAGCAGACTGGCACTTGTTTTGTTTTTTTCTTGTTTTTTTTTTTTTTCTAAATGTTACGTTTTCCAAACGGTTTTATGTTCACGATGAGCTGTAGCATAGAAGGAAATATTTTGTTAAATAAGAATATCACTGATTAATAACTCTTGTTTCTATAATTTCATTTTCATAACAAATGGATCGTCAATACGTGAAATGTTACAAAAATAAAACGCTCAATTTTAAAGTCTCTTTTTCGCTTCTTTTTATATAAATACTTACAAAACCAACCCCCTCCACGCCCTTCTTCAAAATGTAAAAATTAAAAAAAATAAAACGGTAGCTTGCTTTAGAAGAAAAGCAACGCATGAATGTGTGAATGTGGACGCTGTTATTGTGGCAGGAATAAAAACAAGATAGGTTGGCTTTGTTTTGTACCATTTAATGCTTTCATACCTATAAGGTGATTTCAGCTTGTTTTTCTCTGTCTCGCGTCTGAGATGTTAATCTCAATCTAATGTTAAACATGGCGCCTCTTGTTTCGGAGGGGGAATTCAGATCATTTATAGGCACAGCTTGGTTTATAAAAGGAGCATTTTCACTCCTGTATTTTATCATAACCACCCTTATTGCCAAATGCTAACCCAGACAGGCTTTATTTTAGTTGCTCTAATATACGTGCACAACATAAGAGCTCTATCTGTATATAGGAGCATCAGCCTTTTGCCTATTTAATGTCCCCAAATAGGAATGTGTAAATGACTCTGTATACTGTGCATCTAACACAATGTTTAAAAAAAAAAAAATAGATAAAAGAAGCCTTATAGTTGTTAAAGTGCAGCAGCTAAGTACACACTAAACCATGCGGTTTGTTTGGGGACAGAGCTCGGTTATGTGACCGACCGCCTGTGGTTTGCATGACCTCCCCCAGCTGCTCAAACAAGTGAGAGAGTAACCCACTGTAGCATCGACAGATAACCTAAACACAGCTAACTGGGAACAATATGCTAATTTTGATAACGCTCATTTAGGAACGGATTGGTACAAAAGCGGCATACATGCGATCGGTCGCTCTGAGGTCTGCCCCCCCCCCTGCGATGTGAGGCTTTATGCCCTTCTATGCAACTCACCAGGTGTACTGTTAGACCTGTCATGTAGACTATAATCACTGCCTTTTAGACACTGTGAATTTTTTTGTACCCTATATTTTTGTATATTGTACATGACTGAGGACAATAAACCTTGATGCCAACATATCACTGTTATGACCAGCTGGGTGTGTCTGCCTAATAGTTTGGAAATATCAGTGGATTAAGTAGGTAAGAAATAGGCGATCATTTCCTATTAAAAAAATATTCACACATTGATGTTTTGTTTTTTATTCACTTAAGGGATTTGAGGGTAAACTGAAACATCTGGCTTGTTTTCCATATAAACAACAGGTATCAACATAAACGTCCATTAGAGTATCCTGAAATCATTTTACATCTTTCTCTCTCTGACATTGGTCACGCAGCAATATATACTGCATGGAGCTACGCCGTTTAAACCAGGCCATAATTATCACAAGTATAATTGCTCAAGAGCTCATCTACTCCTGCCCGTAGAACTTCTTCTCTCGCACAAGCAGGATTTACCTCCTGCTTGCTTGCGGGAATATTTTTTGGGCAGTCTGGTGTGTGGATCTTGTTGGTACCATATCATATATCTATGATCAGCCCATGCTTCCATCCCATGATTGATTTTAGTCCCCGTTCTCTGCGATCATCCATCAGAAAGAAGGAGACAAAGCAGAAGAGGAAAAGCTGCATGGCTGATGATCAGAGGTAATATTCAGCAAAATATTACCTTGCGACCTGAGGCTCTTTTAACTCCTTCATAACCATTGCTATGATGGTAGCACTAAATTTGATGCAAGCTAAAGCTAACTGACAAGCCTGTCTCCCATGTATCACAGAAGGAAACTTCGAGCACATGCCAGCAAAGAAGTTCTACGCAGGCAAGTGAGTCCTGATGAGTTCCTGAGCGCTCAGGGGGATTGTCATTTGCGATCATGTGGGTTGCTGTTTATACTGTGATAAAACGGCACGGTTTAAACGCCATACGGACCATTTATGTGGATATACTGGGATGTTTTGGGTCATTTTCATGTTGTAGGGTCCTATTCTGCTTTAGTGTTCAGTGTGGTCTTATATATTTCTACAGGGACGCACTACTGCAAGATGGATTCTCCGATGAACACTCAAGGTCCTGCAGCTGTAAAATATCTCACCTTTTTATACCTAACGTGTTCTGTTCTGGAGGTGTTTGTCTTTTGTCTATGGAGTGTTACTGTTGAAGTCCTTTTCAATGTTCCCTCTTACTGACTTTACTCTGGCTGTGATGATGAACTGTGTTTATTTTTTGGTGCTAGAAAGTTTAGAGGTAATACTATAGATTATTCCATATTTTCTAATTGCTGTTTTTAAATAGAAATCAGAAATGAAAATCAGAATCAGAAGGTCAGATAAAAAGGAAAATGTTATGAATATGCAGGAAAAGAAATGGGCAGTGAGATTTGGACTTGTGCAGCTCTATTGATCTCAGATTTAAAAACACTTTTTATCCATGAACCTACTGTAAGGGGGTTTATCTCATACAGTAAACCCCATCTCAGGTATTGTTGAACTTTTTTATCCAGTGAGCTGAATTACCAGCTCAGTTAATTTGAACCATTCAGTTATCAGTTCACTTTTAATTCTATTCTCTGTGCAGAGCTAAATTCAATTAAGTTTATTTATATAACACCAATTAAAAACACATTTCATCACAAGGCACTTTACAGAGACAATTCAACTAGATCATACAGTCGAATTGATTCAGTTTTCTATCTAAGTAAAACCAGTTGATTGCATCGACTCATTGACTCGAAGGCAATCCCTCACACTGGCATGCTTGTAGCGACAGTGGAGAGGAAAAACTCAATTTTAACATGAAGAAACCTCCGACAGAACCAGGCTATGTGTGAGCAGCCATCTGCAGAGGCCAACTGCAGTTTAAAGAAACAAGAGGAAAATTTCCACTACAAGGAGAAAGAAATGCAATCAATTATACTTTTACCTTTTACCTTGGCTGTGAAATATGAAAAATTTGATCCACAAGCTGCTTCAACATCTAGTGCTTCTTTTTCTCCCAACTTGGAAGATGGGGTCTATTGTCGGAAATCTCAGTCAGGTGATGTTTATTTTTTATTATTATTCTGTTGTCCAACTTTGTGCATTATTGTGAAAAGTGTCTTCTGCTAATGGGGGAGCAGTGGGCTACGCTCTGCAGTGCCCTACATGGGTGGTTTAGACAGGGGCCAACAGGTCCATCAAACTGGTCCTGGCCCCCAATTACATAAAAACAACTTAATTTTCTTATTTCAAGTGAATAATATGTGATTATTTTTATTTTAAGGGTTCAAATACAATAAAATAAATATTCATCTGGCAGATCTTGTTATTTATCCAACCAATTTAATGGTAAATACAAAGATTTTAAGAAATGTTTACTCTTCTTAGATCAGTTTTTCCTCTTTAATTCTAAATAATTTCCTGCGCTGACAAACAAAACCCTAAGTGATTTATCCTTTGGACCAATTTAATATCTCACCTTTATAATTAACTCAATCATTGGAAAATTACAGTCATCTTTAAGCCTCAATGGTAATAAGATAAGATCATAGTTTTCATCTGTTTGATGGGGAGTCTGCAACCTTGGCTTTGTGGCTCCTTTACTATACTAAGCAATGGGCTTTTGCCCTGTTCTTCTTTGTATGTGTTATTTTTCTTCTTCTGTCGCCTCATGAAAAATATGACTGGCCCAACCCTGGCGCACCTTGGTAAAAATTGTGCAGCCAAAGGTGTTGCCTGAGGACCCTAAGTGGCATTATGGTGGATTGAAACCAGCCTCAAGGCCTCCCTTCTGCACTCTTAAGACTGTTGGAGTAGTAAGCTTAACACTGACACTAACTGCAAAGTGGCAAATTAATTAGAGGAAAACTAAATAAAGCTAAATCACATTAACCCTGGCATTATCATCGACTCCAAGAGCCTTCAATGCCTACAGATGCACTTGTGATCCCCAACCCAGCAGGTAAGTGGAAACAGCCTGAGCCTAAAACGTGTCACAGAAGGGCATCTTCTTCCTTTCTTCCAGAGAACAAATGACTGCAGCTCTGAAATCCTTGGCTGCATGAGAGTGTGTGTGGGGGGGGTTAGATGGATGAGACAAACGAGCCAAGCAGTCAGGGTGTGTCCAGCAGAGTGCCCGTGGATCACTGCTGGTGTCGGTGGCCCAGACATCGGCGCTTTATCATTACACCACAAATGATCCTGCTGCTGCTGCGCCGCAAAATCAAGATCAAAGCCAAAGAGCAGCTTCTGTCACATGGGACAGGGGGAGACACTAAATAAAGCTGAAAATATCCTGTGTGCTCTCAGTCTTTAACCCTCACATAAATAACTGAGAACACTATTTGTATTTGACTGTGGTGCAACTTCATCATGGAGCGTCCAAAACACACAGCTTTAAACAAATAAACACACAAGAACATGATCTCCCAGGTCAGTTAACTCTAAGCTATACCTCTCAATTAGAGCGGCTTCTCCATAGGGTTATTAATGATACCAATGAAAGCATTGATCTGAGGAGATTCTCCTTCCAAACTAAAGCTAGGAAGCTAGGAGGAGGGTCACCAAGAGAGGCCTGGCGGCTGAAGGAAGCCACTCAGATAAGATTCTGGAGGTAAACCAGTGGGAAGGTTGCCAGGTTTAGAATCCATCCTCCTTAGGACAATGAAAAATGAGAAAGAAGTAAGGGAAGTACGACTTTCTGATGATCGCTGATATTAATGAGTTGGGTTAAGAAAAGATAACAGCTTTTTGAAAAATGAGTCCGCATCTTGGACTAAAACAGCACCACACTCATTCATCATCGACTGTCTTGGAAATTATTGCCTCCCTTTGGGTCATTGTTTACAAATATGTTAACATTTCAAATGATGAAATACCTCTTTATCAAATGAAGTGATAGATACCAGCAGATCAACTTTTTTGGTCCTTTTTTTCTAAATATAAAACAATTTGCTATTTCAACAGAATACAATCATTGTTGAATCTTTATACCCAACTTTTCCAGACATTGTTCTGTTGCAGCCACCTATTTAAAATATAAGGATTTTAGATAATAGACATAAAAACAGGACATAACTATGAGGTGAAATGTTGTGTCACTATGAGGTGTGGAGAAAATTTGTGCCCAGAGAGCAAACATCTTGTAGAACCACCTTCAAA